AACTGAAGCAACCTGTCGATCGCGCAATCTGTCGACCTCGGACTGCGTGGCGTTGGTGGAATCGGCGTACAACGAGTTCATTGTGACCACGACCAACGCGTGGTGGCAGTTTGCATGGCGCTTGGTCTCGTCGTTCAACGCCGGGTACGAATTCTTCAACGAGTCGGCCACGGGGGGTCGCAGCATCGGGTACCCTGCGGACTGGGCCAACCAGACCGAGTACGTGTTGTATCCGCAGCACTACCACCCTCCAGCGCAAGTGGCGGCAGAAGAGAACAGGACGGCTGCCGTGGACCCTGACACGGGTGTGCTGTCGATTGTGGTCGGTGGATCGAGCGCTCCAGTTGAAGCGTTTTCTCTGTCCAGTGGGTTCTTACTTGGGTTTTTGTGCGGCACGATGTCGTTGTCGCTGGTGGTGGCGGCGGTCGCGCTTGTCAGTCGCGTGCGGCAGGAGGTGGCATCTCCCAAGGCTCCTGCTAGTGTGGAAGAGCAAGGTGAACCTGCCCAGGGCGACAATAAGGTGGTAGCCGCTACTGATTCTGCTATAGTCTAAAGAGCTAATCCTTGGATGGAATTGGAATGAACCGGTCAGTTGTTAGCATGGTTGTTCTCGCCTAACTTTAAGCTTGGTATGGCAGCAAAGTCGAAATTTAACCTTTTGCTCACGTTGCTGGTTTGTATGACAATCGCCCAACACTTTTTGGTTCGGCGATGTGCCCTTTTGATTGGTCAAAATAAACTACCACCATGGATGACGTATTTTCATTGGCTACTGTTCGATTCCAGTCACCAGGTAAGGTGGGCAATTTCGTCTTAAAAATTCAACCAGTATGGCCCTGGCGTGGTGTTCCGCCATCTTGCTGGCTTCGTCTGTTTCAGCTTGCACGCTCTTGGCTGCTGGCTCCAAAGCCACCGTGGATGGTTCCGCCATCGTGGGCACTACTTTGGACGGCATGGACACTCCCGTGGACCTACGACTCATTCGGGTCCCAGCCATGAACCACCCCACAGGAGCCAAACGCGCCGTGTACAACGACGGCCTTGATCACGGCACGCCTCGTTTCGTCACGACGGAGCGTGGCCCTGGCTACTTGCCACTTACGAACCAGACCATCTCCACGCCATTGGGCTACATTCCCCAAGTCAACTCGACATATGCGTACTGGGACAACTCGTACGGTATGCAAAACGAAGTCCAGCTCAGTATCGGCGAATCCACATGTGCTGCCAAGACCGTTGGGTACCCGCTGGACTACCCCAACGGTCGCAACTTGCTGAGCATCAACGAGTTATCTCGCATCGCGTTGGAGCGGTGCGACACATCCGTGTGTGCCGTCAAGACCATGGGGACGTTGGCCGAAGAGTACGGATTCTACGGCGAATATTCGGACAATCCTTCGAAACCAGGCTACGGCGGCAGTTCCGAGGCGTTGATCATTGGCGACAAGTTCCAACACGTGTGGATCTTTCACATTCTCACTGGCGCTCACAACTCGGGGGCAGTCTGGGCCGCGCAGCGCCTCGGTGACGACCAGTTCACGATCGTCCCCAACACGTTTGTGATTCGAACGCTCAACTTGACCGACTCGGCCAAGTACTTGGCATCGTCCAACGTACATTCGTTTGCGTACGCGCAAGGATGGGCGTCGCCCTCCGAGCCCTTCGACTTCACGGCGGCGTATGGTTTCGCAGCCCCCGCGTCCAACAAACCCCTCTATGGGGGTCGTCGCATGTGGCGCGCGTATGATGTAGTGGCCCCCTCCCTCGGGTTGGATCCGGACGTTGGCTTCCACGCCAGAGTCCCGACATACCCTCTGTCCGTCAAGCCGGACACGTTGGTTTCCCCCGCTACGGTCGTGCGAATTTTTAGCGACTACTACCAGAACACATCGTACGACTTGACTAAAGGAATGGCGGCGGGGCCGTTCCACGATCCAGCAAGGTATTCGTACGCCAAAGGCGTCCAGGGGGCTTGGGAGCGCTCCATTTCAATCCACCGCATGGTTCACAGCTTTGTCCTACAAACACGACCGAACCTTCCCGATCGTATTGGTGGCATCGCGTGGTATTCCCAAGGGGTTGCCGCGGACTCGGTGTACTTTCCCATCTCGTGTGGCCAGACCACGCTGCCAACCGTGTTCAACCAAGCGATTCGAACGCAATTCGACACCGAGTCCACTTGGTGGGCATTCCAATTCACGACCAACTGGGCGCACATTCGCTACGACCTTATCCACCGCCACATTCACACTGAGCGAGTCAAGTACAACACTTTGGCCCGCCAACTCCACGTGACAACTGAAGCAACCTGTGGATCGCGCAATCTGTCGACCTCGGACTGCGTGGCGTTGGTGGAATCGGCGTACAACGAGTTCATTGTGACCACGACCAACGCGTGGTGGCAGTTTGCATGGCGCTTGGTCTCGTCGTTCAACGCCGGGTACGAATTCTTCAACGAGTCGGCCACGGGGGGTCGCAGCATCGGGTACCCTGCGGACTGGGCCAACCAGACCGAGTACGTGTTGTATCCGCAGCACTACCACCCTCCAGCGCAAGTGGCGGCAGAAGAGAACAGGACGGCTGCCGTGGACCCTGACACGGGTGTGCTGTCGATTGTGGTCGGTGGATCGAGCGCTCCAGTTGAAGCGTTTTCTCTGTCCAGTGGGTTCTTACTTGGGTTTTTGTGCGGCACGATGTCGTTGTCGCTGGTGGTGGCGGCGGTCGCGCTTGTCAGTCGCGTGCGGCAGGAGGTGTCATCTACGAAATCAACACCGTCGAAAGAAGGTGTCGAGTCAAAGGACTGTGAAGTCGAATTGGCTTCCAATGTGGTTGAAGTTGAAGCTGTTTAGTACTTGAAGTACGACGAAGTACATATTATTGTAACGTTGATGCACTTTGCACTTGTAACATTATTGTCATGAATAGAGAGGTTAACGTTAGGCGTTCTATTGATTAGTGGACATTTCTGTGGTTTGGGCAAATGACGAGTTTTGATTACCTCGGCCAAAATGAATTAACGAACTATATACATAGTTAAGTCCACTAGCTGCCAACGCGGCCGAGGCCACCAAGTGCCCGCTGAGTAATTTAAACTTTACAGCGTAATATCAATATCAACTATATACAGTACAGTATCATGTCGCACGGTTGTGAAGCAAAATTATAATAATAATCTTGAGGAATTACTTGATGGTTGTAAAGGAGTATGGCAGAAATGAAATAATTTGTCGGCAATAATAGTACAATTATTGTTCCATGACGTCACTTTGCTGGCAGATCAGTCCAATAATAGCATGTTGACTGCGTTCGCCGCGCTCACCTTGGCGTCTTCCGCAGCGGCATGCACCCTTGTGGGGGTTGGCTCCAAAGCGACCATGGATGGTTCAGCCCTCGTCGGTACTACCATGGATAGCATGGCGACACCAGTAGACCTTCGCCTTGTCCGAGTGCCGGCGATGAATCACTCGGCAGGTGCTCAGCGAGCTGTGTACAACGATGCCCTCCACCATGGCTACCCTCGCTTCGTGTCAACTGAACGTGGCCCGGGCTACTTGCCTCTGAATGGCTCCAACCAAACCATCACGACACCGTTAGGGTACATTCCCCAAGTCAACTCGACCTATGCATATTGGGACGGCGACTATGGCATGCAGAACGAGGTCCAATTGAGCATCGCTGAATCCACGTGTGCTGCCAGGACGGTTGGGTATCCTCTGGACATGCCCAACGGTCGCAACTTGCTGAGCATCAACGAGCTATCTCGCATTGCGTTGGAGCGATGTGACACGTCCGTGTGTGCCGTCAAGACCATGGGGGCATTGGCCGAAGAGTACGGATTCTACGGCGAATACTCGAGGGACCAGACGAAGCCAGGCTACGGTGGCAGTTC